GTCCCGGGGCCGCCGGGCGGCGGCTGCGCATGCGCCCCTGCCGCGCGCTCTGGCATGCGCCGTCCGGCCGGGCTGTGGCGGGGAAATGGCGGCGCCGGAGGGCGGCTCTGCCGCGATGCCCGCGGCTTGTCCCGCTCCGCCCGGTCCCTCGGCTCCCGGCTCCTGGAGCCGCTCCTTGGACCGAGCTCTAGAAGAAGCGGCGGTCAGCGGGACCCTCAGTTTGAGCGGCAGGAAGCTCCGGGACTATCCGCGGGCCAGCGCCGCCAACCACGATCTGAGCGACACCACCCAGGCTGGTGAGGGACAGGGCGTGAGGGGGGCGAGGCAGCGGGGAAGGGGAGCAGGGGCTCTCCGAGAGGGTCTGGGGGTCCAGCTGGACTGGGCTACCACCCAGCCCCCCGCTCAGGACTGAGTCTGAGGTGACCGATTTGCTGTCTCTTCGTTAAATTGAAGCTGGTTTCGCCTCCTTCCTTCGCTCTCCGCCCTTCCTCTCCTCGGCTGAGGCAGGATGGAGGAGCTGTGGCAGGGTTCTTCCTCTGCCCGTCTGATGAGATCTCTCCCATTTCTAGTTTTGTTTTTTTTTTCTTTATCTGCTGCAAAATGTTTCTCTTATGGGGAACTGTTTTAAAAAGCATTGTGAGGTTTTTCTCAGTATTGCTGCTTACTGCTGTGGTTTAAGGCAGTCTTGTTCTTGCTCTGATACATCTATATGTCAAGGTATATACGCATATATGTGCACCCTTACAATCTCTCATCTTGTCCTGCTGACACGGGAAACCAGCTTTCCAAGAAGGGCTGTCAGGTGTGTATGTGCCAAAGAAACTATTTATTGTAAGCTCTATAAGCTCTTATGCTTCTATTACTGTAATTTCAAACAGCCATAAGAAGGTATGAAAGATACTATGAATATCATCACAGCCCTTTAATTTTTTCTCCTGTATAACATGGTTTTAAGGATATTAAAGATAATTAATTGCTTTACAAGGTATAGTAAGCAATAGGGCTTTTGTCCTCTCTGTTCATTAAAAGTATTCATACAAATAGACTAAAAAATATATACTTTGACTGTAAGTACTTTGATCAGAAGTGAAAACATATTTGTTTTTGCATATTACTGTACTAAATAGAGAGGTGAGACTTGGAAAATGAGAGTTTGTGCAGGATGTAGAAATCTTCTTAATACATGATATAGATCAGATTTAGTTTATTTTGATTGTGCGGTTGTATAAGTGAAGTCAAAGTAACTCTAAAAGGTGCCAGCATGTCATCTGTTTGTAGCTTTGAAATCTAGTCATTTAGACTTTCTAGTATTGAGTTGTAGCTTGAAAGCTTAGAAATAAGCTTCCATCATCACTTTTTTTTTTATGTTACCATGTTTGTTAGTAAGTGTGTTGGTTACAATGTTAGTTAAGTAATTCAAAATGGAACCTTCTTTGAAATTGTCTTGACTTCATATTCTGTCCTGTAGCATCCTACTTATGCAAAAATCTGTTACTAACAAAAGAAGCACTCATGGAAACTCAAGCAAACCTTGAGACAACAGTGGTTTACTTGTCTCAAACATATCTCTACATAGAAAACATTTCTTGTTGGGTTATAAATTTTTGGGGTGTTTTTTGTTTCGTTTGTGAACAACAAGTGCAGTTGCACAATGAATGTGGGGACTAATCTGTAAGCAAATGCAGCATACACATTTGTGAGGAGTTTGGGCTTTTTGTTTATAACACTATTCATTTACTGTACTCTTAAACAATTTGTGGGAATTCTTGTTCCCACCAAGGTTCCCATCTATTGTGATGAATATTTGCATTGTAGTTGTTCAAGAAGCATTAAATGCTAATAAGCAGCAGTGCATGGCATACACTTTTGTGCATTTATCATCACAATGAACCTTGGAAAAAAGCTAGAACTGTTCTTAAGTTGTAAAAAGCAAAGCTTATTGAGTGTGTGTGAGGACACACATTATGTTCAATTTCTCTGTTTTGAAGGCTGCTGTGAAGAACTTCATTTTGTGCTTTTTTTTTTTTTTAGCATGGTCTGTTCTGTGGCATTTTTTGTTTTAAATAATGCTTGGCAGAGTTTTGTTCATGGGAGGCTTACAATTCTTTTGTATGGGACTGGCCACAAATAATATGATACAATGCATTTGTGTATTAGGTGTTATAAACACTTAAAGTAAACACTTTAAACAACAGCCCACACTGTAGACTCCCAAGAGCCTTCATTCATGCTGTGCCACAGACTCCAAGCACATGAGGTGCTGCGTGTCTGTGTTTCGTAAAAATGACTGGAATTGCTCCTAAATTACAGATTCAGTTACAAAACTGGCAATGAAACAACGATGTACTATCCTTCCTCCTTGTGTGCCTTAATAGACATCTCTCTAGTGTGAATCATATACTGATACCGCTCAATCCCATTCTTGTAGCAATAAAAGTAACTACACGTCAGTGTAACCACACTGATGCTTACGAGGTGGGAATGAATCACATCCCTCATTAATGTAACTATCCTTCTGGAAAACCAGGATTTCACACTGCCTGAAGCCCCAACAGAGCCACTGGCTTTGCCTGGAAGCTGCTCTCAATGCAGGTGAACCAGCAAAGTGGGTCAGTAGGAACAGGGTGTTAGAGATCAGATGTTTGATCAAGTTTAGTTGGGTGCTCTATGTGGATTTTGAGGTTGATGGTGGGTGATGTCAGCCATAAGGTGCATTTTCAGATGTTAAATCAATGGGAAGATCACGTTTCTTTGTACCTTGTATGGGTTCAGATTGTGGTGCTCAGGCCATAACAGCTCCTAGGTACCATTGTTAACCACTCACTAAACAGTCACCAGAGCAGCAAAACCAGGTCAGGTTTGCTGCACTTGATTTATGAACTCAATACAGTATTTCTTTTAGGTGGAAAAATTAAGTTCCTCATTAATAATTTTCTATAGTCCCTAAACTTTTCACTGGAAAGTAGATTCTCTAGTCATGTCAGAGCCTTGGCTGTTTCTGGGCACTATCTTCCAGATGATGAAAACCCACACGTGACTTTTAAAACCTAGATCAATGCTCAAGGTTACTCTTGGAACGGACCATATAACTTCAACAGGTAGTAAAAGCAGTAGTGAGTTTCTAGTTGTTTTGTACTTTGACTAGAATTAAGATCACAGATAAAATCAAATTGAAGATGGAATGGTCTGTGCTGGAAAGCTTTGGCATGGTTTAGCAGGAAGGTAAGTCCCTACAGTGTGTGATGCTAATAATCCTTGTGGCAATAATTAATCTAATGTTCCTATATGTGGGGGATGTGCAAGAAATTCAGTAATAACTTAAGATACTGAAAGAGTATCTCATTACTTTATATTCCTCCCTTACAGCATAATTGAACTTTTAGGAAGTGACTCGGGTTTACAAAGCTCATTGATGATGAAGAATGAGCAAGCTCCTTCATTATCAAATGGAGGACATGCTTTCATACTTTTTCTTTCAATTTTCTTTCATGCTTTCATTTAACATTCATTATCTCTCCTCATTTTATCTAACTTATAACCCACTTGTTCATTCCACTCATGTTCTTGACCATGGGATAGGAAAAGGAAGGGCTATAAACCACCTGAGTGAAACGTGAAAGGAAGCACAGTTGCATTTTGCCAGCATTAATGTAGGTTCTGATGTCATTATTTGACAGCTTTCCCAGTGGCCTAAAGCATACATTGAGCAGAAAAGTTATTTGTCAAACCATCCATGACAGCTGTAATTACTTAAACCACTCACTGTCTCCATTTTTAAAGGAGAAGATGGGAATATGTGGGTTTATGCAATAAAAGAAATGTCCGTTGTATGGAAATTGAGTAAGATAATTACATGCAGCTCACTATGTCTTGTTTCTGGAATATATTAGTAGTAAAAAAGAATAGAAGGACTCTGAACAGGAAGAATAAAATGGTCTGCTGTGCCTTTTCAATGGCTGTGCCAGTAAGGCATCTCTGTAGTTTTGTTTTTACTAGCTCTCCATAGAAATGGTAAAATCTGACCATAGTGTTAGTAAAATTTCTATATGCCAAGTGCTTGCATGCATCTAGAAGGACTGCAGTGAGTATGTGAGAATTCTGCAGTAAAGGGTCTCCCTCGTGTTTTTCATTCCTGCTAGAAGTTCAGTTGATACTGCCTAATGAAATGTGAAATGGCTTGAGAAGCACAGCATGGCTGAGATAGCAGTGGCCCTGTTACCCAAGCATCTGTTCTTAAAGCCACAACAGCACAGTCAAAACCAGCCTAAAAGTGTTTTGTTTTTTTTAATCTCTTTGGGTTTACTGCATTTTCAGTGTAAACTTATAGTGATCTTTAAGGTAACTTGGAAAGAATTGCTATTATTGTTTGTTCAAACCTCGGACTATTTGTCAGCAGAGTTTACAGTTTTGATACTTAGATTATCTAAAGTTTCAATATTAAAACCCAAAACCTAATATGTCAGTAGGGTTGTTCAGAGTCTTATGATTGCATGTGTGTCCTTGTCTCTACCCTTACCAAAACCCAAAGAGAAATGCCCTGTCTATAGGTACTAGTAGCTGTAGGAGTGAGAAGGGGAGACGATCACAACCATTCTCCTGAGTTTGGACAGTAATCTAGCTTGTTCCATTCAGCTGCATTTTTTTTGGTCTTAGCTCCTACTTGTTCAGTCCTTGTTTAATTTGATTATTGCTCCCTTTTTCTTTGTTCTTGTTGTGTTTCTGTTTTTGAGAAGTCTTGATCTCGTGTGGTCTGTGTATAAATATTGGCAAATCTTGGTCTAATGGAATTGTCTGAGAGTGGTGCTTTGGTAAATAGATAAATTGAGGTCAGGTCAGTTCTCTGGCTTTTTTTTTTTTTTACCCTGAAAGCATGAAGAGCAGTAGACTGTGGTAGTTTATGGTTCTTTTTTGTTGGATGTTTTGGGTTTGGATGGAGACCTGAGGACTGCAGTAATGCTCAACTGTTCTTGGCACACAGGAAGTCTTTTTGCCTAATGTTTTATGGCAACTGGAAAATGCAATCTGAGCCTGTAGTTTCTAATCCTTGTGGTCATAAAAGCAATACATTACATTCAGAATGCCTTTGTTTAGTGAGTTTATCTTTTAAAACAAACAATAAAGTCCCACCATCAAATTTTACTACCAGTGAGCTCTTGAAAGTAGTGTTCAGTGCTGTTGCATGTGTTTCTAGTTACTTCCCTAGTCTCCACTTCCTTGGCTCTATCATTATCAGATTTAATTTTTTTTAATACTGTCCTGTCTGTATATGCTCTTGTAGTTATATTTTTGGAGATAA